ATCGAGGCAGTTCATGCGGTGCAGCGCTGCGAGGGGCGGCAGGCCGCGAAGGCGCGGATGTTGGTCGATCCACCGTTGCATGGCAGCTTCGCCTGCACAGCGGAAAGAGTTGTCAAAGAAAGTCGGCAGGCGGATTTGTGCATGGATCCACTCGCGCGGACAGGGCGGGAATCGAGCCCGGGACAACCCGTGCCGCCGGACCACGAGACAAAACCCCCACGGTCCCGGAGCCGCCAAAAAAGCAAAAAAATCGAGTTTGTGCGAGCCTGCGCAGCCGAAACGCACTTGTACAAAAGCAGGAATCTGCGGTAAATACCACGCGAAACGCTCGCGGACAGAAGTCGACACCTCACTTTGTGCGAGCCTGCGCAGTCGAAACGCATTTCAACATCAAGCAAAAGCACGAATCTGCGGTACATACCACGCAAAACGCTCGCGGACAGAAGTCGCCAACTCACTTTGTGCGAGCCTGCGCAGTCGAAACGCACTTCGACATCAAGCAAGAGCACGAATATGCGGTAAATACCACGCAAAACGCTCGCGGACAGAAGTCGCCAACTCACTTTGTGCGAGCCTGCGCAGTCGAAACGCACTTCGACATCAAGCAAGAGCACGAATCTGCGGTAAATACCACGCAAACGCTCGCGGACAGAGCGGGCACCTCAATCTGGCACCAAGGCCTTTTCTCTTACCGTAAGAACCCCTTAGTGTAGACACACTGTTTGGGGAAAAAGACGACTTTCACCACTGAATGGGAAAAAATTACCCGCTAAAGGTCATTTTGGGGCCGAAGGGACTATTGATCAATCCCAATTGGTAGAATACTACCGTAGATTTCCCACTGGGCTGCCGTGGTCCTGGACTTCGTCCAGCTCTCTGCAGAGGACTTGGGCAATCGGGTGCCTTGCACAAAACTATGCAGCTGGACCCTGAATTGTGGGGGAGATCCGGGGCAGACCCTTCCACAAAAACAGCCCAACCGAGCCACACAGAGGGACCCGGAATTGCTGCGCGGGTGGAACCTGGAAGATCAATTTCCTCTTCAGGGGACCCTCTGGCAGGTGCCACGTTAGTGGGAAGGCTTGCAAATCCCGAGAAAACGACAACCCCCGACTCGCCCATCCGAGCCGCAAGTTCCTCTCCGCCTCCTCCGCATCGCCTGCGCTTTCCGACCCAGACTCAAGTCCAGGAACTCGGGGAGTGAATTTGAGGCCTCAAAGGGGAGATTTGAAGGCAACCAAGGTTGAAAGCACCCATCGAGTTTTAGATGCTCCGCTTGTGCGCAATCCGAACTCCAAAGGCCATATTGCCGCTTGTCAAAACTTGTACGGGTCCGTGTGCAAGCAAGGATCTCTGTTGCACTGGCAGACATGAGCAATTTAACACCCTTGGTATGGTAGCAAAAAAACATGTCTTGCGCAGCCCCACTACTAAAATGAACAGAAGCAAGGCAAGAAGAACAAAACGAACTAAACACTTGCCAACAACAGTGTAGCGACAAACAACATTCTGACTGTACTCCATTTCAGCTACCACCTGAGTTTGCTACCACGTGAGTTTGCACAACAGCTGAACTCGCGTCTTTTCTTGGGCTCCCGACTTGGTTGCTGGTGAAGGACCCCTCTGCGGTTCAACTTTGTGTGGGTCCAATTTGGAAAATTCCAACCCTGTCCCACAAAGTGAAAGTCCAAAGGACCAACCATGTGTCTGCAATAAAGGGAAGGTCTTGGGCTCCTGGAGGTAACATTCCTATGACTTGCCTTCACCTCGAGTTCGCGCTTGCGATGTGCGTCTTAGCGCGGGATTCCTTCCATCTTGTTCCAAGGTAATCGCTCGCTGCATCCTCCCCAAGTCAACTGTAGACTAGCTGCAAAGGAAGTGCAACACTCTTACACCAACCTGAAATCCAGAGGCCGCGATTTCATGTGCCCAGATTCACGTAAGGATATTCAGCGTTCCCATTACCCTCAAGTATATTCCCAGAAAGATGTCCCTTGAGCAGAGAAAAAACAACTGGGCTGCCCGTTTTCAGATCTCGCGCTAAAAGTGACTAACTTCTAGTGGGCTAAATTCGGAAACTACCACTAAACACTAAAAGATCCTAAAAGCTAAGGGGATAGCTGGGAGCCACCAAAATGAGTTATGTTGGGTGGAAGATCGACTCAGAGTGTACCCTGGCTTTACCAAATGGCCCGGTTCATGCTTCGCAAGAAGAGAAGCAAGGACTTGAGTCCCCCGAAAGGCCTGATGGGGAGGGCCGTTGCCTGACCACGGAGGCCTCAGGGAACCGTTCCCGTGCGTGCGGGCCCCTGGGTTCAAAACCAGGCTCGCTAAAGGGGCCATCGGGGAATGTTAACCCCGGATTAAGCAGAACCCCTGGTTGATTTTTTGGGGGGTGTCCCCTTTTAGTGGGTATTCATCACTTTTGGAGGGAACACCCCCCTAATAGTGGGACGGGTTTATTAATCCTGGGTCAACATTACTCAGACAGTGGTTGATAAGCCGAACGGAGAATTGTGACCATGGTTGTAACCGTGGTTGCTGCCCACTTTCTGAGTACAATGCCCTCTTTCAGTGATCAATCCGCGTGACACTTCGAGGACCATCTGGCGTTTGCGGATTGATTTCAACGCGGGAGCCTAGCCGTTGTAAGCGTTTTTGCGTGTGGTTTCCCTTTGAATCCACAACAAACTGGGCACCTTCAACAAAAGACGAGCCGCCCACTTGGGTGTGGAGGTCAAATGACACCTAAATCTAACAAACCAAACCTGTTGGCTGGGGGAAAAAAAGCTGGGTACCAGCTCAAAAGAAGACAGGCCCTGATCTGACCTATCCTCGGATCCTCAGATCCCGCCCTTAAAGTTGAACTTGTAAACCGGATGAACTTCTAGTGAGCTAACTGGACATGTCCACCAAACTAACTACAAAGATCTTTAAAAAAAAGAAAAAGAAAAAAAGATCCAAAAAGCGCAGCTTCAATCCCTACGGACGGGCTGGGATTCCCACAGCAACGGCAAGCGACCCTCTCGCGACCGACTCAAAGGAAGGCCTCCTTTTGCCGCCAGCCAGCAGAGGCAACTCATTGAGCCACGCCCCGGAACGTACGAGGCGCCCTGAGACGGAGATGTCGTCTCTGGGCGGTCCGCTTTTTTTCATATTTTCATATTTCTGGTAACAGTCAGCAACCGTTAGTAGGTGAAATTCGGGAAAACAAAGAAGAAGAAAAAACTAACCCAACAAAGAACAGATTTCAAAAGCTAAAGGTATCGCTGGGAGCCACCAAGTTATATGAGTTATATGGCTTCCCTCTAAACACGGGACACCCCCCGTATCAACCACTGGTTTACTGGGCGGTCCGTTCTTTCGGATCCGGTGAAAGTGACGAACCAGTGGCTGAAACTCGGGGGAGAAAAAACAACACAACAAAGAAAATATTTCTATGAAGCTAAGTTGGACCGGATGGCCTTTGGCTTCGCCACATGCAGTTCTTGCTGTTTCTTTCTTTCTTTCTTTCTTTCTTTCTTTCTTTCTTGTTTTTATTTTTTTCGGATTACCCACAAAAAAAGGGGCACCAACTCCAAGAAAAGGTCCGGACCCGAAACATGGGGTTCGGTCTTGCTGGTGGTTCCTAAAAAAAACAAACGGAAAACCACATGAACAAACCCCCAACTCCAACATGGGATTTGGTATTCTTTCGGAATTCCTGTCAAACCCACGCAACAAAGCAGCACCAACTCCAAAAACAAGGTCCAGACCCATGAGGCGCCAAGGGTTGAAAGCAAAAGCAGCCTTCTCCCTTTTTGGCTCGGCTCCTATTTTTTCTGGGCTTCTCGATGCCCATAGATTTGACTAGGTCCTCCAGTGGAGAGGTTGGAACAAGGGTACCCGATGTTTTCTTCAAGACGTCGATTTTAGTAGGGGAACCCTCCCAAAACGCCAAAAAAAGAGAGTTGGTGAGAAAGGGCACCTAGCTGGGGGAACTAGTTGCATCTTTGGGGGGGCCCGCGGAAAGAAAAAGGAGCTGCACCGAAACGTAGGAGCCCCCCGGCATCTCAAAATCAGAGGCAACACCGAGAAATTTCGGGAGTGGAGGCACTCGAAGGGGAACAAGGAAACTAGGTGCCATGGTAGTCGATCCGCTTGCAACTCACCTCTGCATGGCTTAAAAGGAGCCCCTTCAAAGTCATTGTGAGATCCCCCAAAAAACAATCTTTGCACCCGCGAACACTATCATGACAAAATTTGTGGACTCCCAGACTTGCCCCTTTGAAGTTCTTCCCACGTACGCTGGCAAGGCTTGTGTCTGTCTGCGACAGTTCTCGAAGTGTTAGAGAACCTCACATGGACCAAACTGTTTTTCAACCAGCTACTCACGGCCAGCTTACAGCCGAGGTTGATCTCAACATATCTCAACCAAATAGAAGAAAATGTTCAAAGTGAACCAAAGATGATCACGCCTAAATTCGATAACAGACAAGGATAAACAGGGCAACAAAAACAAGTCCTGGCCTAGTTGTTTCGTCATCAGCATCGTGTCAATGGCTTGCCCATCCAAAACGTAGCCTCCCCTCTAAAATGGGAATTTCCCCGAAGTGCCCTCTACGAAAAATTAACGTTCACAAAGCGGTTTTCCTATTCATGAAAAGCTACTTGAAACACCTTTGAGAGAAGTTTCCTTGGCCACACACAGAAAGTGGCAGCCATAAAACGTCCGCAACTTTTCCGCAACTTACCACAACCTCGCTTTGGTGATTCGAACACCACCCCCCCAGAGACCAAATGCGCCCTTTAACGGAAGCCATTCTAGGGCCGAATAAGGCCTCGAAATCCTCGAACTTCAGCCCCCACCTCCCTATCCAAAGGTTGTCCACAAAAATATCAACAACGAGGGGGAGTTATTTTTCTGGCCTATGCCCAAGAAAACCGGGTGCCCCCCCAAAAAAACGCCGCATCTTGTTCGGACGCCACAGCCTAAGGTGGCCCAATGGTTAGTTTTAGCTGCTATTTTTGGTCCTGTCTGGCCCAATATACCCCAAAAGAACGCCGCCTTTTTGCTCGGACCGTTGTAGCCGAAGCTGGCCCCCCGTGGTAGTCCAAATAACTACCCTCAGATTACACCGAAAAATGCATTTCTTAGTCCTCCCCCTCCCCCCTCCTTAGGCCCCCCCAAGGTCCCCTTCTAGCGCGCCGCTTTGCGCCTCTCTGGCAAAGAAGGCGCCGCCCAGGAAGTGCTCGTCCGCGAAGAGCTCCTTTTCTTTCCCCCCCCGGCCTCCCCCAAAGAAAGGAGAAAGAGTCTCTGTTTGATTCTGGCAATGTTCGGTTAACCCGAAATCTATAGCTTCAACAGATTTTCAGGTGAAAAAAAAACTGAGCTTTCCAATGTTCTAAAGGTCCCAAGTGGGCCAAATGAGTCACTTGCTCAAAACCCGGTACTAAAATGGTCGTAATCCCAGAACCATGCTTCAAGAATTAAGAAGGCGAATATCCGCAGCTATTTCCGGCTGGGATCGTCCCTTCCTAACCGAGTCATTTACTCGGTGAAAATCCAAATCGTACCCCCAGTGAACATCCCAATCCCCACTAAAGTAGGTTCCAAAATGGCTGGTGCACCTACCCCAAAATGGAATCCCATTCGTTTTGACCCACCGCCAAATGGGGAAAGCCTCGAGGGAAAATATGTCCGACCTTCCATTTGCAAGCCCCCCGGAAAAAAATACGTCCAGCGGTGAAATTGATTCCTTTTGAAACCAACAGGGGCAACAAAAAAAAAAAACTCTCCACCAAATGGCAGCTCCACTCGCTCTCTTAAGCAGCTCCTCGGAGCCCTCGCAGGCCTGCACCGTGCCCGCGCAGGGCGCGTACTCCTCGGCCAGCGGCTTGGACGCTTCGGCCACGACGCTGCTGTCCCTTTGGCCCCCAGAAACCAACCCCGGGAAGGGTGTTTGCTACTTAAAAAACCAGCCCCAGGGAAAAGAGAAAAAAAGGAAAAAAGGATCCAACCACCCACCCCCCACCCCCCCAAAGAAAAAAAAACACCAAGAAGGAGTGGCCCAGGGATCCTCAACCCCGAAACTCAGATGTCCAGCCTCAGCTTTTGCTGGCCAAAATTCCGATGTTTGATTCTGGGTCACCGGATTTCTCCAAAAAGGTTGATCAGTTTACAGCACTGGTGGTTTCTACTGGTGGTCGCCATTGAAACCATCGCCACTTTGGGAGGTTCCCTTTTAAGGGAGATGGTTCGGAACTATTTGAGTTCTGGCCTCATTTTTGGCGAACCTCATGTACACTAAATGCACGCGATCGTAGAACAGTAAGGTGATGGGGTAGGTCTTGTCCTTGTGTCAAACCCGGGTGCCTGATTGGCTGGTCAAAATCCAGGACTGGCCAGCATCTATCCAAATGGGAATGTAAAAGCTTGGGAGTGTCAAAAGGAACTTTGATCAAGGTTGCAACTAGATTCTGTCCCAGAGAGAAAATTACGATCCAGACCCATGGTCCTTGCGTGTCAAAGGCGGAAAATTTGAATGGTCAACATCGAAATAGGCATCTCTTGTGCAAAGGGCAAATGGAAATCAGTCCGTGCAATTTGCCCCATGAATCCCAAATCCCAAAGTAGCGAGTTAGAGGACCTTCACCATGGGTGAGCTCTTTTTACCAACAGGTCCAGCTCTGATCTACACCGGGTCCCTCTCTTTTGCGTGCGTGAAAGCTCTCCAACAAGAGGCTATGATACAATTCCTGCCGGCGTGCACAAGAGTGTTTCTACCCATGAAAATTGTATATCTTTGAATCGTCACAATCTATCCAACTGGGCATGTGTGAACACTAGCTAATCAGAGCGAATTCCGCCCTTCTAGTGCGGGATGATCTTCCTTGGAGATTCCTCAGATTAGTACGGTGTTCCAATGTTTTCCAGAGAAATCCGAAATTCGCAGAGAAGGAATTCCTTGCTTCCAACCCTGGAAGCAAGAAAAAGCCTGACTTTTTCTTCCTCCGGACAAATCCCCTTAGAATTTCCTTGTGCGCGGCGGCAGGAATTGTCATTCCGACTGAGGGAATCATAGCCTCCAACAAGGAGTGCGTTGACGCCACAAAACAGAGGGACCCGCTTTTGACACAAAGCCTCTTTGATTTCCTGGCTAAACAAAAACACCGCAAAGGATTCCGCATTTCTACGGCGTGCGCCGTCCAAGCTGTTGGTGTGGGCCTGGCTTAGGAACGGGGCAACCAAGGCGACCAACCCCAAGGAGTGCTTTGGAAGCACTCGGAGCCTGGTGTTCTCTGACCTTTTAGAGGGCAAGTGGGCCTGGTCATCATTCATTGATTTAGCGGGGACGTGTTTGTCAACCTACAGGGTTGGTGCGGAAACCATTTGAGGCGGAAGTAGACCGTGGTGGAGAAAACCTATAAACCCTGTCTCTCCAGCTTTCTTTGCGCAAATGCGGGAGGGCTACATCTCAAGACGCGATCCCGGATGAATGACGCTTGGTCCAGGGCAAC